CACACACACACACACACACACACAGACACACACAGGAATCCCATAAAAACACAAATGTGAAAGCCATAATATATATGCAAAGTACCTATAATGTAAATAAAATAATTTAAAAAATAAGTGCCCTGAGTAAACGTTGAGACAAAGAACCTCCAAAGATACCACTGAATTTTTTAGTGTTGGTCATCTGCCGCTGGACATGGGGCTACCTTTAAGAGTGGTTTGTATCCCTAGTGAGAGTGCTGGAGAGAACTAGCTATCCACTTGTGAGTAGTTATCAACTGGAGATTGTTTCTACAGCTCCCGGGTTGGCGAGGGGACATACGTCCACTCCTGTCAGCACTGGGACTCCTGTGCATGCTGCCAGTCTCTGAATTCGTGTGTGTGCCCGTCCCGCTGTGTTCAGACGGCCGTGTTTCCTCGGTGTTCCCCATCCTCTGGCTCTGACAATTTTGATATCTCCTCTTGCACAGGGTTCCTTGAGTCCTAAGACAGGGCAACTTTATGGACACATCCATTCAGAGCTGAGTGTTCCAAGGTCTCTCGCTCTCCACACACTGCCCCGCTGTTGGTCTCTGTATCTGCCCCCATCTACCGCAGGAGGAAGCTTCTCTGATAGGGGCTCAACAAGACACCCACCTATGAGCATAGCAGAATGCCATCAGCAGAAATGGCATTACGACTGCGTTCCTTCAGCAGAGCGGTGGTATTGGGGACCTACGGTCTCTGATTTGTCTAGTCTCAAGTTTTTGGCCAGGGATGGGTTCCACCTCATGGCAGGGTCCTTCAGTCCGGTCATGTTGGTCGGCGACTCCCACAAGCTTCCTGCCACTGCTGCACTAGCGCTGCAGGGAGGACACTACTGCCGATTTAAGGGTTTGTAGCTGGGTCGCTGTTTCCCTTTCTCCTTTGGTAGCATCGAGAGCACCTTCCAGTGCTATGCTAGTCAGTAGGGGTGGTCTGTGTAGGCACCAGCTCGACTTTTCCATGTTCAAGGAGTTATGTAGGTGATGCTGTCAGTTTGAGAGCAACCAATAGCCTTGACAATAGCCTGGGTTGCTTGGGGGTTCCCATGAGGTCCCTTTGGCCAACAACTTGATTAGATGCAACCCGTTCCCAGTACCAGAAGTTTTATTTGGTGATGAGATGTCCACTTGGGGCTATGTCACCTCCATTATTTGGCAATTTCATTTAGATTGTCTTCATATATAGAAAGAGTTTAGGAAGTTTCCACTATATTGGATTTATATTTATGGCCTCCCAAATGACCCTTAGTTTTGGCAATCCTTCCCCCATATTTCCTCCCTTCCTTTCCTTTCCCTCCCTCTCCTTATTAGATTCTCCTGTTACAATCTTCCCTCTCATTTATCCATAACTATCTATTCTATTTACCCCTCCTAAGGAGTTCCATCCATCTCCCCTCATCCCTTATCCAATACCTAACCTCTGTGGTTATACAGACTGTAGCTTACTTATTGAAGACTTAACAGGTAACATGTCCATATAAGCAAGTACATTCTATATTCGTCTTTCCAGGTCTGGGTTACCTCACTCAAGATCATTTTTTCTAGCTCCACCCATTTGCCTGAGAATTTCATGAATTTTTTTTCACAACTCAGTTGTATCCCACTGTGTAATTGTGCCACATTTTCTTCATCCACTCATCCACTGACAGGCATCTAGGTTGTTCCCAATTTTTGGCTACTATGAACAGAGCAGCTATGGACATGGACGAGCAAGTGTGTCTGTGACAGGGTGAACTGTCCTTTGTGTATTGCCCAAGAGCCAAGAGTGGTGTAGCTGGACCTTGAGGTAGATCTACTCCCAGCTTCCCGATGACTTCCATAGTGGCTGTAGAAGTTTGCACTCCCACCAGTGACGGATGAAGGTTCTCCTTACTCTGCATCCTCTCCAGCCTGAGTTCTCATTTATTTGTTGTTGTTTTTGTTGTTATTGTTGTTTTAGTTTGTTTTTTGTCATTGTTGTGGTTTGGGGTTTTTTATTTTTGTTTGTTTGGGGTTTTTTTGGCAGGAGAGGGGATGGCTGAGGCCAGGAATGGTTTGTTTCATCTTAAACATTAGAGTCTATCACGAAGGGAAGTCAGGGCGGGAACCTGGAAGCAGGAGCCGAAGCAGAGCGTGGAGAAATGCTACTTACTGGCTTGCTCTGTCTGCTATCCTATACAGCTTTGAACTGTCTGCCCAGGGACAACGCCACCCACAGTGGATTTGGCCCTCCCGCGCACAAATCATTAATCAAGAAAACGCCCCCACAGGCCACTCTGATATTGTCATTTCCTCAGTTGAGTTCTCTCTTCCCAGATGGCCCTGGCTTGTGTCAAGTTGACCAAACAAACAAACAAAAACCCAACCAGCATTTCTTACAGGACAATGGATGAGGGTTACTTATAGGAAGCAGAAATGATTCAAAGACTACATCACCAAAGCTCAGCCTAGGCTGGGAAAGCTCGCAAAAGTTGGAAACCTGGGGCACAGCTTGTAGGAAGCTCCACAGGATGGAGAGCATTCTTTGTAGGCGGCTCAGATGGTCTGAGCCTCTTCCAGGCGGCTCACCGGGCCTCCTTGTCTTCTAAGCACCTCAGCAGGTCTGTTTCCTTCAGCTGCTGGGACTGGGCGGAACCTGTGGGAGGCTCAGCTTGATCCAGTCTCTCAGCAGGACTTACTGCTTCCACTTGCTTTGGAAGGGAGGGACCAAGTGAGCCTGGTCAGTTCACTTTCAGGGACTTCCTGAAGCTGAGTTGTTTACTGCCTGAGCCTAACAAAGTTTGCTGTAGTCCAGAAAGTTTCACCCTCCCTTAGATGACCCTATTTCACCCTCCTGGAAACATCCAGTCTAAAGTATCTTGTTCTTTCAACCGCGCAAACATCCCTTTCCACACCCAGGGTTTTCAGAAGTTTTCCTTCAAGAAGGAAGATGTGACTCTCTCCAGGGAAACTATTATCCAAGACATGGTCATATATTATTTCGGCTCTTCGTTTTTTGAGAAGCCTCCATACTTATTTCTATTGCTGCTACACAAGTTTAGCGTTCCACTCCCAACGGACAGGGGCTGCTGGTTCCCTGCATCCTTGCTTGCCTTTGTTCTCTTGATGATAGCCATACCAACTGTAATGAGGTAGAATCTCAAGGAAGTCTCCATTGCAGTTCCCTGATATCTAAGGATGTGGAATACTCTCTCAAAAGTGTATGTGAAAATGACTATTTGTATTCATGGATCTTTCATGTTTTTATATGAATTTTAAGATTTTTTTTCTAGTTCTGTGAAGAAAGTTACAGACATTTTGACAAGGATTGTGTCACACCTGAAGACTACGTTGGGTAATAGAGACGTTGTCATAACCCTGATTCCTGTCCATGAACATGAACGGTCTTCCATCCTCTAGTGTCTTTAACGTCTTTCTTCTGGGGCTGCAAAGTTTTCATTGCAGAGGTCTGTCACCTCCATGCTTAGGTTTATTCTTGGGATTTTTTTTAATTGTATTGTGAATGGGATATTTATCCATATTTCTTTTTCAGCACTTTTTATTGGCATACATAAAAGCTACTGGATTTTTTGTGTGTGGATTTTATATTGTTGCTTAGCTAAAAGTGTTGCCTAATCAAAGAAGTTTCTGGTAGAGTCTATAGAGTCGTTTAAGTATAGTATCATGTGACTTGCAAACAGGATGTTTTGATTTTCTCATTTCCTAGTTATATTCCTTTTATTTCATTCTCTTGTCTTATTGTCCTAAGACTTTTGGAATCACATTAAATAGAGTGGGGGGAGTTGGCATCCTTTTTGCTTTCTGGGTATTAGTAGAAATGTTCTCAGTGTTCCCCAGATTTTAGAATTTGGACTACGGGTTTGTCATCTGTAGTCTTTATTATACGCAGATACCTTCCTTGAGTTCCTTGGACTTGTTAGGCCTTTATTATGAGAGGACATTGAACTTTGCCAAAGCCTCTTCTGTGCCATTGAGATGATTAGGTGATTTCTATCCTTAAATCCATTTGAATGTTTGGCATATATTACTTTGCATGTGAGGAATGTACCTTGTATCTCCGAGATGAAACCAGTTTATTCACGAAGTCTAGACTGTCCCTGCTGATCTCCGTGGGCTCCAGCACAGAGGAAGCCGGAGTGACTTCCCTCTTTGCCCTGCTCTTCTGTATTATGTCTTCTTGTGTGGGCTGCCTCTTTCTCAGACCTTTTCTGTTTTCTTTTTCTTCTCCAATTCATATTGTTCCAATCTTTTTTTATTTTGAGAAAGTTGTAGAAATGTTTCAGTACGTTCCTCCCCTTCATCCATGTGGCAATTGTAAGGTACTGGAATGTCACACCCATCACCAGCAAACCTCTGCCAATGCATCCTACCAGTTTACCCTATAACACCTGCCTGTCTTTCCTGAGCATGTTTTGGTTGACTAGATGTTAGTTTGGCTTTGTTTCTGTGCTGAGGTTTGAACCCTTGGCCTCATGTGTGCTAGTCAAGCCCTCTACCACTAAGCTACATCTCCAGCCCTCCTGAGTCTTCCTAATTGCGTATTTGTAAGTTAAATTTGGGGTAGCATTGGCTCTGAGGAGACTGACTACCTCAACATGTAACTGGAGGTTTTTATAAGAGCAGAGAATATTTTAGAACCACAAACCCTAGGACTGGGGATGTAGCCTAATGGTAGATGGCCTGCCCTGGATGCACAAGTCCCTCAGTCCCACCCCAGCATCGTAAAATAAATGAATACATAAGCAAAAGTCACGCATTGTAAGAGTGGTCGCTTTGGAATGTGCTTCTGTGGTCCAACATCCTGCAAAATCACACACCCTCGAGCTGATGAAGCAAGCATAATCTTGACATTTGATTTCTTCTCTCCTAGCTATGACCAGCGAGGCTATTTCCTGTTGGTCGGTACAGTCGAAGGGAACATCTTTGTTATTGATGCCAGACCCTCAAGCTCGTTTAAGATTTTCGGATACACTGGTACGCCCTACAGCACACCTGTTTGTCTAAATTTTAGGTCACTTTTTGCCAAAGAATTCAAAGCTAAAATTCTAAATTATAGCAAAACAATTACATATGTCATATTTTTCTGAAAAAGAATACTTCAAATAGAAGTTAAATCCCCATATTGTATTTAGAGAAATTTAGAATATTAGAGTTGTCTGGTATGCAACTGATGGTCTTCTATCAGCTACTGAATTAATTAGTACTGAATTAATTAGTCTGAACATTTTGAAATTATAAGGAGAGGAAAAGCTGGGAATCCAGCAGAAATGCTCCTCACCTCTCACTGAAACTGCAAGCAGAATGTGAACGCAGAGAGGAAACAGCTCAAGGAAGACAGAAAGAGTTAGGCAGGCTCAGGGGTCCCCTGCGTGTTGCTCGGTCAGCAGGGGTCCTGAGAGACAGACAGACGGATCATGGAGGGAATGGATGAGAAAGCGGAGGGAGTCGGTGCATAGCAAGATGAAGCGGCAAATTTCCAGAGCCTGAATGATAATGTGGCAACTGTCAAGAGCAAGGAAAGTCCCCGGCTGAAGGCGGGACCTCTTGCAGGAAGGAGAGAGGGCTTCAGAAAAGACACAAGGAGATGAAAAGCAGTGGGTGGTGGCCTATCTGCTGTCTTAATGAGCTCAGCATCACAGATGGGACTCGAGGCTGACCCTGGCGTCCCAGTGATGCCAGGATACGAAGGGAGACGATGGAAATAAATGAGAGAGAGAGAGAGAGGTAAGATCCAGGATAAGGTCATTGCAGCTGGATCTTCTGAGGTGCTCTTAGTCTTACTTGTTCTGGAAGACAGTGTTACGTGCGAGATAAACTTGGTACGGCCCAGTCAGTGAGCAGGGTGTCCCAAGCACCAAACTCAGAACCAGGTGCGATTCCACTACACAGGTAGTGACGCCAAGAATGCCAGTGTGTGAGGCTGCCCGCTGTAAGAGCCCTGGAACTGGCTGGCACAGCTGTTCAAAGAGCCAGGACATGGGCACACAGGGTACAGATGAGAGGAGAAAAGATGGCAGACCTGGGAAGGCTCCCCTGCTGGACACAAGAAGGTCTAAACCCACCTGGCTGCATAATGCAATTCAGACATCTAATCAGAAAAACGCCCTAGCAGTTCTTTAGAAATGTCCCGTAACTCCTGCTTAAAAGTCACTGTAAAAATCAGTTAATAAAATATGCTACTAGAGATTGGATGAAGAATAGTGTCCCTGTTTTGACACAGGAAAATACAACTTTGTGTGTGTGTGTGTGTGTGTGTGTAAGATATTAAATATTAACAAGACCATACTGAGAATTAGGGAAAAGTAGAATTATATCTTAATGAGAATGATGCCAGAGCCTTCAAAGTCAACCAGAGATGGGGAATGGAGAGATGGTTAAGAGAACAGGCTACTCTCTACTCTTCCAAAGGTCCTGAGTTCAATTCTCAGCACCCACATGGTGGCTCACAACCATCTCATAATTGTCATGAGATCTAATGCCCTCTTTCTGGGTGTGCAGATGTACATGTAGACAAGAATATATATATATATATATATATATATATATACATAAAATAAATAAGTTAATTCTTTAAAAAAAAAAAAAGGAGCTGTGGTTTAAAAAAAAAAAAGTCAACCAGAGACCCATTTCTTCCAGAGACGAACAGAGACATTCTGCAGATATCCACGGTGTCCCTCCCGCAGTCGGACGTGGTGCAAGTGTTGGTGCTGTCCCCACTTCCGGAAACAGGAAGAAGCAGGCTGGAGTACTTCACGCTGCCTACCATGCTATCACGAGGTGACACAAACAAGCAGCCCAGCCCTCCAGCCCTCCAGCCCCCCCCCTCCTCACCCCCCCAGTTCCCTAGCCCTCCAGCCCCCAGCCCCCCAGCCCCCAGCCCCTCAGCTCTCCAGCCTTCAGCCCCGCAGTCCCCCAGTCCCTTAGCCCTCCAGCCCCCAGCCCCCCAGCCCTCTAGCCCTCAGTCCCCAACTCCCCAGCCCCCAACCCTCCAGCCCCCCATCCCCCAACCCCCTAGCCCCCCCAGATCTTCCTGGCCCCCCAGACTCCCAGCCCTCTGGCGCCTCTTTCTGGCCCAGATGTGCTGCTGTGGTGATTTTTCTAGTTTCTTTTGGTTTGGTATTGTTCTGGCAAAGAGGTCAAGTAGCTGCCCTCGTTTAAATAACTTAAAAAATGAATACTGGGGGGCCGGTGCAGGGGCGGGGGCAGTCTAAGCAGTGTAAGATGGGGACTTTCCTTCTTGCCTCAGGATTCAGGAATGTTTGTTTGATTTTTTTCCTTTCTTTCTTCCTTCCTTCCTTCCTTCCTTTTTTTGTCAGAAAAAATAAACAAGACCAGCTGCCAAGCCAAGCTGATCTGTCATTTTGCAATGGCTCTTGTTTTGCAGTTTAAAATATTCATAGTGAAATTCAAATGCTTTACAGTGTAGGTAAACCAGCTCTCTGGATTAACAGATATTCTTTTCATCTCAGATGACAAATTTATCTAACTAGAAATTTTGCAAATATAGACTTACAGAAAATAAGAAAAAAAAACTCAAAATACTTTCATGTTTTAATTAAGAATCTGAAGAAAAAACTAACGACAGGTATGTGGTTCAAGCTTTTAATTCAAGCTCTTTGAAGGCAGGGCAAGGCAGATCTCTGTGAATTCCAACACAGCCTGATCTGTATGCAAACTCGAAACCAACGAGAGCACATAGTGAGACCCTGTCTCAAATAAAAAAGGAAGTGGGGGAAGGAAGGAGAAGGGAGGGAGGGAAGAATCAGAACTCAGGAGGCTGAGGCAGGATTGTTGCATGTTTGAAGCCAGTAACACCCTTACAAAAGAAAAACAAGAAAAAAAAATCCTGGTATTGTGTCTATTTTAATGTTAGTTTTTAAGCTAGTTTCTGAAATGACGTATCGTTTACTGACTATAATTTATAATTTATAACTTCTGAAATGAAGGCTATGACGTATCATTTACCGTCTATAATTTATAATTTCTGAAATGAAGGCTATGACGTGTCGTTTACTGGCTCTAAGTGTCAAGTAGCTCTGGTTGAGGTCACTTGTTTTAACATTTTCTTAAATCACCAAGTAGCCTTTTTCCTACTACTCAACTGTTCAAATTTTTCATTTTGCATTTCATAACTGTCCCCACTGATTTCCAGCGTGAAATCTCAGGCTCTTTGGCGCTCTCCCCTTCCCCCCGCCCCTTCTTAGTTTCTCACACCTTCTCTGATGAGAGGGGAAGGCTGAAGGACAACTTCATCCACAAGTTACTGTACGAGGTGGAGCACTCTCTGTCCTCCGCTGTGCTCGGCTTTGGAGATGACAAGATCTACGGCTTCTGCAGCCAAGTGCCGTACATCTGCAGCTATCTGATTCCCGAGAAGGTACGCCAGACTCCAGCCATCAAGACTGAGGTCACGTTTATTAGACAAGGCCCTCTTGACTGCCTCGGCAAACCGATTTGACCAGCATATGGCTTTATTATAGAACTAGCATCGCCTTCAGTTAGCTGCACGGGAGTTACTGGTTAACCCATCACGAATACAGCTGAGTGGCCGCACCCTTACAGCATTCTTGTCAGACAAACATGCAGGTGACAGAGTATTTGTTTAGCGCCCTGAAGTCACAGATGCCAGTGGCCATATGGTGTAAACTTTCCAGTGAAGCTTTACACCTGGGTCCTAACTAAAATCACACAAAATAGCTAATCTATGTCTCTATCGTGTTCCTTCTTCTCTCCAAACTTCTCCCATTCTGGAGCCTCTCCTCGTAGCCCAGTTTGGCACTCAGCATCCCACTGATGCCTGTCTTCAGGTCGCTGGGAGGAAACTCTACCCCATGCTTCTCTAAACTATTTTAATCTTCTCTCAGTTCTTTTCTCTCAGTGTAGCTGGTATTAGGCATAGAAATTGAGAAAAAGAAGAAGTTGTTTGTGGTAGCAGAAGATTCGAAAAAACTACTATAGACGAAGCAATATTTATGCTGGACTTTGAAAGATGATTCAGATTTGGATACAGAAAAATAACATGTTCACCCTAAGGAAGGAGGGCGATAGGGGGATGCGGAACAGGGGTGATGAGATGGAGCTGAGGAGGACATTTGAGATAAAAGGAAGGTCATTTTAGAAGATGGAGACAGGGATGCATGGGACACATAGTGAGGACATTGACAACCTGCATTTTGATTTGTGTGTGATGATATATAAAAGGAATGGCTGAAAACAAAGACCCTCAGTGTAGGCTTGGATCTTCAGTGGCAGAATTACATATAAAGAAGCCATTCCTGGGCTGGGGTGTAGCTCTGTGGTTAAGAGTACTTGCTTATTATGCATAGGAGCCTGGGTTTGATCCCAGGATCAAAACAAACAAACATGCTTCTTGGCTGGCAAACCAGCTTGTATTTGTAGAGACATAATTAATACATGGTACAAACACAGGTGCCAACTCTTTCCCATATAGGCTCTTTTCCAAGGACAGTACTCTCAGACTTGAACCCGATCCCTTATGTAACGCATACCTACAAAACCAAAGTTGCCACTGGCCTGATCTTTTCCATATGTTGTTCTTTGCTTTGAATGGCAGAATCACATTGGTGTTTGTGTACTTAAGCCACACCAAAAAGTCCAAACCAAACAGTATGGATCTGGAATGATCAACATGTCTTCACATGGATTATGGCTCCTGACAATAGCCAAATGTGGATTTCTCTGTGTCCGAGATATTTTCAGCCTGGTAAATTTTAAAAAGAATATCTCATCAGGGGATGGGAGGGTGTTAGAGTTTGCGCAGTGGCTAAAGACATTTGTTGCTCTCGCAGAGGACTCGGGCTCAGTTTCCAACACCCGTTCAGTGGCTTACAACCAGTTCTAAGGGACCCGGTGCCCTCTTCTGACTTCCGTGGGCACCAGACACACGTATGGTATACATACATTCATGCAGACAAAACACTTGTACACAAAAACAAAAATAAACGACTCCCTGTTTAAGAGCTCTACTTTCTCTTCCGGAGGACCGAGTTTGATTCCAGCAGCTGAACTGAATGGTTCTCAGGGGCCTATAACTCTGTCTCAGAGTATCCTATGCCCTGGCCCCCATGAGCAACTGCATGCCTGTGCACACGCCCACACATACCCCAATGCACGTGCATACACATACTCCTGTGCACATACACACACATACTCCTGTGCACATGCACACACATATGTGCTCACGCCCACACATACTCCTGTGCACATACCCACACATACTCCCATGCTCATGCGCACACATACACCTGTGCAAACATACCTGTAATTAAATAGGGATCATTTCTCAGCATGGAGCATGCACATGGATTTCAGGCAGAAACAAAACCCGTAGAAGAGGAATCTGCTTCCTTAGGAAAACTGACCCAATTTCTTTCTTTTTTCTTCACTCACTGAGCATGTTAATGTTCTTTGTTTTTCCAGTCGGCCTGCCCCTCTAAAGGGGGAACCCCAGATGGCGCACACAGAGCATGGGCAGGGCACTGCAGAGAGCTCCTGCCCAGTTTCCTACCATTAAGCTTTTCCCTGGAAACTTCCTGGGAGGCTCTGAATGTCCAGTGCTCTGTGGTGAAGTTAGGGAACCTGCTCCCTGCCTGCTGGGGACTCAAGGAAGGGAAGCTGCTTTGAAAATGATGTTCTTGGCAGCAAAGCCACTCTGCCTGGAGGGCCTCGGCTTGTTGTTGCTGTCCTCAACCCTTCATAAAGAGCAGAAGGGGGCAGCGAGACCCTTGTCTGAGTCCACCTACGGGCCTGCCCATGGACCTCTGACCCTTGAAGGCATCCTAACTGTGCTCACTTAAGGTCCCTCCCCTAACTCCATAGCCTTCAGCAAGTTGGCTGACAGAGTGGCTGATTGCCTGGTTTAAGCCACTGGTTCTGATCACTGTCCTTGCACATTACACAAAGTAGTGGGAAAATAAATCAATGATGGGTGAACTAGAGGTTTTAGGCGCTGTTTGCTGCCAAGAACTATCTTTGTACCAACTAAAATGTCATCAGAAGTACAACAAAATTACCCATTAGCAAAAATATATATGATCATGTTGGAAAAATGCTGGAGAAATTGCATTTATAATTTCTCCATTCTGTCCCTAAAACTATGGAGGAAACGTTTGCTCGGTGTCGGAGTCATTCTCACCAGGGGCACGGGATCCAGTACATAAAAATGTCCATGGATGGCCAGCACATCCTTGTGAACGGGAAAGATGACGGCACCCTCGCCTACCTCAAGTGGAAGTACGTAAGGGGCACAGTCAGCAATGCTATGTGCTGTGGTGTTTTAAACTCAGAAGGCCAGTATCTCAAGAGATAGACTGTTACACGCAGAGATCCGGGAGGAGAGGGCACACACCGTGCTTGCTGTAGGAGCCTTGTGGGAAGCCCCAGGGTGGAGAAGGATGAGGAAGAAACATGGCCAGAACCATCATTTCCGAAGGAAGGATCTAGAAGGATAGGTGTGAACTGGGATGAGTGAGATCAAGTTCTGAGGGATAAGAGCTATTTCTTGTTGTAGGAACTTGACCCTGAGGCTCCTAGTAGCCTCAATGGCCCTAAGTGTGAGAGCTCCCCTCTCCCCAGGAGCTGTCCAGAGTATGGCCTCAGGATTGGTTGATAGCTTTTAAAAAGATGCCCTAGGGGGAGTCATCGCCATCTTCGGGAATTGATCCAACCTGTGTTTCAATGTGACGCCCAAAAGACAGCCTGGACTTTAAAGGCTGTCTCATGGGAGCCGCTGAGGGACATCACTTACTGACGAGCAGTTCCCTTCGGGCGACAGTACCTTTAAAACATGGCCTTCCTTGGTAACATTGTGGAAACGTTCAATACCGTGGGGGTTTTGTACCATAACATTTGGGACACTGTTTACTTCAAGGTCCTGTTTGAAAATAGTGTCATCATATCCATTTCATACATGAAAACCCTGAGTGAAATAGAAATTTGCATCAAATAAGTCATAACATGCCCCTTCCAGCCACTGAATAAACAGTGTCTCCAGCCACAGCAAGTGTAGGCGCTCTATTTAGAAAAGGCCACCTGAACTCCCACACTCAACAAAGTTGTTTGGAACCTTGGTCCAGGACTTATGACCCTGTGACCCATACACCTTCAATGAAACCTTTAAGTCAGTGGTTTGCAACCCTGGGTCATGACCCCTTTGTGAGAGGGGGCTCACATACCAGGTATCTTGCATGACAATTATTTCCATTATGATTCATAACAATAGCAAAATTTCAGCTATGAAGCCACACCAAAATCATTTTCTGGTTGGGGTCCCCACAACACGAAGAACGCTATGAAGGATCACAGCATTGAGAAGGCTGAGAACCGCTGCTCTAAGCTGTCTATAACACTGTCACTCAAGGCTGGCGGTCGGCAGCCTCTGTGAAGCCCTGAGAGACCCCTATCCGGGTGCCCTCCCCTCGAACGGCCTCAGAGTGCCAACTCCTGTCCTACTTAGCTTTTCTGCTGCCCTGAGAAACGCTATGACCAGATGAAACTTGGGGAAGAGAAGATTTCTTTCTGCTTGCAGAGTTGTGTAGTCCACCTCTGAGGGAAGCCAAGGCAGAAACTCAGGGCGGGAGCTTAAACAACACTGCTTGCTGGCTCGCCTCCCCTCGCTTGTGCATACGACACAGACCCACCTACCAAAGGGTGGCTGCTCACTCTATGCTGGGCCCTGTTACCTCAGCAATCAAGATAATGCCCCAGAGACATGCTCACAGGCCAGTTTAATGGAGGCGATTCACCTGGTGGCCCCCTTTCCTAGGTAACAAGAGAACCTAACCAGAGGAGTTAGTAGGCCCAGGCAGGCCTCTCCTCAAGCCCTCCCGGTGGTAGAAGTGTGAAGCTGGAGATCCCTCAGTGTGTGGCACGGAAATAGCCTTTCAGGTTGGGCTCTGAGGGCCAAATCAAATAATGAGATCAGTGTATATAATCAATCCAGGTGCATTCTGGGGGCTCAGTTACAGCAGTGGCTCTTCTATGTGGTGGCCAAAGGCCATTTTAGGTGAGGGTACAGAACAACATAAGGAGAGACCACCCAAGAAGGGTCAGGTCCACGAAAGGGTCCTCCTCTGAGAAATAGAGGTCCAGTGACTAAAGGTCACCGTGGAGAACTCCCCAGGTTTCTTTGTGTAGTTGTTTGAGAAGAACACTGCCAAGTGTGATTATCTTAAACTGATTGTGTGATTCTGTGCTCTCTCTCTCTCTCTCTCTCTCTCTCTCTCTCTCTCTCTCTCTCATATTAGGCGGCTTGGAGCAAACTTAGCAAATGAGATCTTTGAACACTGCCAACAACTAATAGTCGGTCTGAGCAAGATGGTGGAAAAAGAAAATCAATATTTAGCCGCATCAGAAGTTTCCCAAGATGTGGAGCAAGAGGAGCCAACTGAATCCAATGTAGCTAGCTCACTTTCTCCCTCTTTATAGATAATATGGAAGTTTTCAGGTTTTTTGCTTGTTTGTTTGTTGAAGACAAGGTTTCTCTGTGTAACAGCCCTAGCTGTCCTGGAACTCACTCTGTAGACCAGGCTGGTCTCGAACTCACAGAGATCTGCCTGCCTCTGCCTCCCGAGTGCTGGGATTAAAGGTGTGTGCCACTATCACCTGGCATGCTACTTCTTCTTACCCAGCTGCCCAGTGTTTGTTCAACTAGAATATAAGCTACATCTGTCAGAAAACTCATCTTTTCTTAAAAGGATCACAAATATTATATCTCAAATTTCACTTAAGCTATAAGATCTGGGCTTTCTCAAAAAAAATTTTTTTAACCAATATTGGTGTTTGGTCAAAGCAGTCTCTCTACTTCATATCATATTCATAATTTAAGAAGGGTCTGTCTAGAAATATTTATTTGATCCTTCAACAAATACTTTCTAAAATTAAATAAAAATCACTTTATTGTGATGAGCTCACATAAAAAATATCATATAAGGAAGCCCCTGAAATAGTTCTGCTCTCAAACTCTTCACACCTTGCTAGACCTTCACACAGGCTGATTGGGCATTCTGAAGCGATGGGCGTCGCTTGGGGTTTTTTACACTTTCCTTGCTAGTTATCGGTTGGTTGGTTTTTGTCTTGTTTTGGTCTTTATTTCTAAGACAAAGTCTCATTGTATAGTATTGACTGTCATGGAACTTGCTTATATAGCAGGCTAGCCTCAAACTCAGAGACTGGCCTGCCTCTGCCTATTACATTTTTATATATGAACCCACCACAGAAGAGAAACTATCACAAGAGAGCAGAAAGGGGTTCGACAAATAACGACTGGGTATCTACAAAGTGGTGGTCTAGGTCAGACATCAGTGACGGTGAAGACTTTTTTCTTTCCTGATGTCCCACTCCAGTGGGGCTTCTGGAGCTCAGGGAGATGGATCATAAGTAGACGAGCAACTGATCAGTGAACAAGTGGAATAAGAACGGCAGGGAAACAACGTTCACTGGGCTAGCCTCTTCTTAAAATCAGACCCTTGCAGAGAGGAGGGGCAAGAGCACTCAGGACAGAGGGACAAGTTGCTTGGTATAGGATGTGTGGAGACCAGCAAATCGTGAGAGACTTATAATTAGTTAAGAGTGCTCAGCCTAGCCCAGGCTCATTTCAGCTAGCTCTTTTAACATACATAAACCTGTTTCTCTTTCTCTACCTTTTGCCTCAGGGCTTTTTACCTTTCTTCCTTCTGTATATCTTTCCTGATGTCTCTGTCTGACTGGTTGGCAGCTGCCTGGCTTCTGGCCTCAGGCATTGTTGACAGAGTTCTGTGCCTCCCCGTCCTGCAGCCATTCAGTCCTAACAAAACACACAGATGCTTTTATTAATTATAAACTGGTTGATCTATTAGCTCAGGATTATTATTAACTAGCTTTTACAACTTAAATTAGCCCATAATTCTTATCTATGTTTAGCCATGCGGCTTGATACACCTTACTCAGTGGGGCATTCTCATCTTGCTTCCTCTGCATCTGCCTGATGACTGCAGACTGAGCCTTTCCTTTTCCCAGAATTCTAGTCTGGTTGCCCCACCTATACTTCCTGCCTGGCTACTGGCCTATCAGTGTTTTATTAAACCAATACAAGTGACAAATCTTTACAGGGTACAAGAGCATTATCCCACAGCAAGGCACATCCCCCTCGTTCTTCCCATTCTCTTCTCTCTTCTTCTCCATCTTAGATTCTTCCTTCTATTTATTCTCTCTGCCCACTAGCCCCACCTATCCTTTCTCCTGCCTGTCTATTGACCATTCAGCTTTTTATTAGACCAATCAGATGCCTTAGGCAGACAAGGTGAAACAAATGCAACACATCCTTACCTCAGTAAACAAATGCAGCATGAACAAATGAAACATATCTTTACATAGTCAAAGCAATTTCCACAACAATCAGTCTTTAAAACATCTTTATTTCCTTGGGACAGAGGTGTGGGGATTAAAGCATCTAGGCAGGCACGTGTCTGTGGTTCTTTTTAAGTGAGACAGTGCAAAGGGGTTCAGTGAAGTGAGGTGAGAGAAGAACTTGACAGTCTGTGAGAACTTTCTGTCTCCTTCGAATCTCTCTTAGAAAAAGCTGAGCTTGGACTCATCACAAGAGGAATTAGCCATCGATTCTGACAAGGAAATTTCTTGGATCCAACAAAAAAGTGAAGAGGTATTTGTTTGTTTGTTTGCTTGCTTGTTTGTTTACTTGAGACATGGCTTCTCTGTATAGATCTGTTCTGGATCTTGCTCCATAGACCAGGATAGCCTCAAACTCAGAGATCCACCTACCTCTGCCTCCTGAGTGCTGGGACTAAAGGTATGCACTACCATACTCAGCCCATGAGAAGATATGTATAAAACATGAAACAGGTTTGAAGTAATACTCTATGATGTGCCCACTGCATTCTGTTTCTATGGAAACCTAGGGGGAGAGTTAGAACATTATGTGAGACACTGCTTGCAGTACATTGCATTGTACAAATGACTTTCCTAAAAGCAAATACACACCTAAGCCAGAGCGAGTTCCAGGACGGCCAGGGCTACACAGAGAAACCCTGTCTCAAAAAACCAAAATATATAAATATACACTTAACCAGAAATCCAACAAAAGTATCCAGGAAAGCCAAAACCAAGGAGGACACGTGAGATTCCATGTTTGTGTTCTGAGGGATGTTGTCTTAAAAGGGTGGGCTGGAAACAGAAAGGCTACTGTAGCTGAGGACATTATAAAGTGAGCAGCAGGCTGAAGGCAAAGTCTGGATCCAGGCTCACTCAAGTTCAGGCCAAGGAGCACATCAGGCTAGTGTTCCTTCGTCGGCTAGTCACTCTTTGATTTTCACTACTCATTTCCAATTTGTATGATGGACATCAGTTTGATGTTGTCTCAGTGGTCATTTGCAAACCATTAGATTTAAGCAAGTATCACAGGGATATGATTTTATAGTTTGCTTTTTATTCTTTCTTGAATGCATATTCACGTGTTGGCTCGTGTGCATGTGTGCATGCATGTGTGCTGGCTCATGTGCATATGTTTGTCCATGTGACGGCTCAAGGTGGATGTTGGGGATAGTCTCCACCACTCTTCCCTTACTCACTGAAGCAGGGACTCAGTCAAACTCAGAGCTAACCCATATGGTTAGTGTTGCTATCCAGCTTGCTCTAGGGATTCGCCGTCTGAGCCTGGAATTACAGGTAGGCTGCCGCATCCGTCCAGCATTTATGTGTGTTTCTGAGGATACAAACTTTGGTGCTCTCAATCGTGTGGCAAATCTTTTCTGGGTGAGCCATGCCCCACCCCCTGTATATTTTATAGTCTTTGCAAATGATCTCTTTCCATTTTAAAGAAGTGCTGCCCATGTATCTACCAGCGTAGCTCCTCATTCTCCCGTCATCTTCTCCCGCCTTACTAAGTGAGGTGCTTGCTCCATTTCAGGCCATCAAAAACGAGGTCAGACTGTTTTCACAGAAAAGGAAAGAGATCAAAAGAGGAATCAAGGAGCTTTCTCGAACTGTAAGTGCATGGTTGCATGCACTGAAATGCATCAGCCTTCCATCAAAATTTACATTTTCATCTTATTTTGTTTCACACCGTATGAGGAGGTTTCCAGGGTATTCTGACAGGGTCAAAACTTAGCTGTGTCACACTTTAATGTTAAACAAACAGTGCATTCTCCCTCTACTTCCTCCAAGTGCCCCATCTTACGTTGTATTTTAATGCCTACTTTCTTCAAAGTTATACACTGACTTTTTTTTTCTTTAAAAGCGGCCTCTGTCCTACTCCCTTCGCGTGGTGCTCGCACTTTCCCTGCCTTTCCTGTGTGTGCCTCCTTTCTAAACGGCCTCCTTCTACTGTTTCTTGACCTGTTTACGTATGCATTCCTGAGAATGGAGCCACCCACTTTCTCCAAGAATCTTCCTACCTTAATTAGCCTAACCAACATAATTCTCTATAATCCTCTCCAGAAGCAACGAACTTCCTGACCTTCCTGCCCAGAGATCTGTCTCCTCAGGGAGTCCACTCCAGCGCAGTGACAAACTGCTGTTTGTTACTAGATGAATGAACTTCTAAAGAGCAGACCTAAAACTTTGATAACCACAATAAGCCTAGACTGGAATTCCTTATTCCCTAGTGTGTTCAGGGAACACAACACCTGTTTTAGTGTGCCAACACGCCTCTGCATTTCAAACTTCAGATTACGGGCATGATGGAGGAAAACGAAAGAGTGGACCCAATTGCAAAGTTAGAGGAACAGGAATTCTGCCTGGACCTGGAGGAGCTTGAGAGGCTTCACGATGAGAGCGAGGAGGAGGTGGCAAAGGTATGAAAGGGCCTCCCTGAAGTCCCCAGGGGTGACATGAGAGACATAAAAGAGAGCGATGCTGAGAAAGGCTCTTCCCATGTAGGTCTCCCAACCCTAGATTTAACTCCCGAAGAGAATCACTAATGCCTGGCACCATAAGCCCACCTAACTGTTAGCACAACTGGGAGTCCTTGAGAGAAGTGAGAGAGAATGTGAGTCCTTGAGAGAAGTGGCACCCCCAAGTCAGGGGTCTCAATGACCCTAGGACTCTAGACAGCTCCAGCCACTGGGGTTCCACAGTAGAGAAAGACACAGAGGGCAGTCACCTTCCTGGACACAGAATCTAAGGGAGTTGTGAAGTCGCAGGGCAATCGGTAATGAAAAGTCCCCAGACTATCTTAATACAAAATATACAGCTTTAATAAACAGAAGTAAGACTTACACCAGCTTACACCAGAATCCAAACGATCCGTCAGGACACAGGAGCCAGGCGAGAGAGAGAGAGAGAGAGAGAGAGAGAGAGAGAGAGAGAGAGAGAGAGAGGAAAGCACTTGCCAGGTTTATAGGCAAGCTTTAGCCTAAGGGCGACACACCCCACAAACAAAATGTGATTGGCTGAACTCCCCTATCAGAGTTGAGGGAATAGTCTCGGGTGGTGGGGGACAGGGGCTAAAAGACTGGAGTCAAGGACAACCGTATTAGCCACTGACTCCAGGGATCAGAATAAAAAAGAAGTGGAGCACAGAGCCAACAGTCATTTGATCAGCAAACAAAATAAATGAAAAGGAATGTGAAGAAATTAATCTGAGAGTGCAGCGTGAATGATAAAAACCGAGAGTCAGATACAGGGGCTAACGCTGAAGGTCAGAGAAGCAGAGCTGTACGCCACTAGAGAGACCTTTTACCTCTACCAATGCTCAGACCAAAGGGGAGATCCTCAGGCTGCGCTGTCTCCACCAAACCTCAGACTCCACACTCCAGTGAGTTCCTGTCTCTTCCCCTTTATATTCCTCTCTCCGCCTCCTGTCTCCACCTCCAGAGTGCTGGGATTAAAGGTGTGTGACTCCCAAACACTGGGATTAAAGGTCTGAGCCACCAGCACCTGGATCTGTTTCTGGATCAACCTTGTGTAGCCCAGGGTGGCCTTGAACTCACAGCGATCTAATCTGCCTCTGTCTCCTGAGTCCTGGGATTAAAAGTGTGGGCTACCACTGCCTGGCCTCTAGTGATCTTCAGGCAAGCTTCACTTAATGAAGTACAAATAAAATGTCACCACATGAGAGATTATTCTTAACCAGTTTGTAAATAATCCTGCCGCCAGAGTGAAGCACAAGGAAGTTGGTAGACGGGGCCTGAGGAACAAGAACTGCTGTGGTTCACTTTCATACCGTGTTTTCTGGGACACTTAATTGCTTATCTATTAAGGGATATCAGCTGAAACTACACATATGCTTATAAATTTTTTAAAAGTAAATAATCTAGTTCCCTAGATAAGTGGATATTACTTTATTGTAAACATAAATAAAAGAGGAATTAAGTAAAACTTTTCAGACACAGGTCAAGAACTGGCCCTTCATATGTGCAGACAGGAATGAAGCTAGCATTGAATATCTTGCTGAATCATATGAAAATATGGGTTTCATTCTTCTTTTGATAAAACAGGGAGAGGGGACTAGAAAGACTTAAAAACAAAAGAAAATTGGGTGTGGCTCCTTCTCTCTGTAGTCCTAGCCCTGAGGAGGCTGAGATGAGGAAGTTCCTGAAACTCAACAAACCAGCTACCTAGCCTACGTGGAGAGCCCGGGACAGTGAGAGATTCTGTCTCAAACAACATGGTGTTCTGAGGGGAGACACTTGGTGTTGTCCTCTAGCGTGTACATATATACACATGTGCATGTGTCTGTACAGAGAGAACCCAGGAAGACATGGCACTTGACTTCTTCAGATCTATCTGGGTCAGTCATTCTGGGTCATTTCATTACCCCTAGTGGGTGTCTGTCCACACAGCCCCTTTTGTTCACGGTTCATCTGGCCTCCCTTACAGACTTCGTATTGACTCAGCAGTCTTCGAGGCAGGGAATCTAAGCCTTAACACAAGCCTTGGGAAGTGTTCTCAAAATAGGACTGCGTGGCCCAGAAGTTCACCACAGTAGGGCAGCTGTGGAAATTCTGTAAACACTCCCACTAACTGGGCAGCTCTGACGAGTGAGCAAGCTGGTGATGGCGTAGGTTTCTCTAAACAGTCATATTTTCACTTTGATCTTTCCTCTTACTTTAAGATAAGAAAAGAGGTGGAGATGCATAACTTGGCCAAGAGCTATTTAACTGAGCTCATCCGGGAGGAGTGCTGGAATTCCATGGTTGTGAAGGGCCGAGCCCTGAAGGTAATGCATACACAACCCCGGGTGCAGAATCCCAAATGATGAGAACTCTCATTAAAAAATTCCATCACATAACTTTTTAAAAAGTAAAGAAAATCCACACAACAGAGCATTCTGTGGCCTTGCCACTGCCCGCGCCCAGATTCCACCAGTTCTGACACCTTTCTTTAATTCATTCTTCCCTCTGCTCAGTCTCATGCGCTTCGAAGACGGTGCACTTCCAGGTTGCTCTTAGTGTCTTTTCCTCTGTCCTGTGTTGCCCTGCATCCTTCTCTTTGTGCCTGCCACCCCAAAAGGCTACCTAACCATGCTCTACACAGATTAAAAGGTAGACAAGACACTGTCTGCATTTACACCTCTGCTTACCCTCATGTATTCTAAACGGCCGTTCTCTTATCTCTTTGTATAGGGTAATCAAACATCTCGCTCTATGTGCACGTCCTTAAATAGCTACTAACAGCACCTTTTCCCTCTTTCAAATATGCTTTTCTCTGCCTATCCCCACGTGGGTGATAAAGTTCACAGCCACGGCACATGTATGGAATTGGGTAGCACGAGCGACACGGGTGGAGGCAGACAATTCTTTTACCAGAGCTGCCCTATGTCCTGACAGATGTTTTACACCCTCCTTGGCCTCTATCTACTAACAGGGACAGCTTCAGACTACTAAAGTAGCAATAGAAAAGGCATTGAGACACTCCCAGTATATCCGGGAGAGAAGGAGGATATGGGGAAAGTTGGTCGTGAGAATCATTGCTCTAGAATGAATCCCTTCACAAAAGCACACTGTTTTATGCAAAGGGCATGCCCAGAAGAACAGCATTATACCGCTTCATTCTGAAGGTCCCGGGGTCAGCTCCACTCATTGCGTAATAACCTCCACATTGATTTTAATGAAAGGAAACAGCCCCTATGCTCCCCTGATGCCCACAAGTATAGTAGAAATGAACTTAATCATCTTGGTTTCCACCCGAGTGCTTCCACATCCCCTATGTGGTTGAGAACTTCCCCATGAAAGCGCGCACAGAAGAAGAGCTGCAGCAGCTGAACAGAGTTGTGCAGCAAAAGAAGACCGAGGCAGAGTGTCTAAAGGTACCACTTTAAACATGGGCGTGTGTTTACATACATGGTGTAATTTATTAAGGGTCCCCATGCTGGCTAGGGTCTTTGGAATTGAAGGAACCTCAGTTGAGAAATTGCCTCCGTAAGAACCTGCTGTAGAACGTTTTCTTAATTAGCAATTGATGTGGGAAAGCACAGCCCACGGAGGGTGGTGCCCTCCCTGGGCTGGTGGCCTGAGATTCTATAAGAAAGCAGGCTGAGCATGCTGGTAAGCTGCATCGCTATGTGGCCTCTGCATCCACTCTTGCCTCCATGTCCCTGCCCTGCTTGAGTTCCTGTCTTTCCTTCCTTCAATGATGAACAGTAAGGTGGAAGTGTGAGCTAAATCAACCCTTTCCTCCACAGGTTGCTTTTGCCATGGTGTTTTATCACAGCAATAGAAACCCTAGCTAGAGCTGGGCGGTGGCGCACACCTTTAATCCCAGCACTCAGGAACCAGAGGCAGGAGAATCTTTGTGAGTTCAAGGCCAGCCTGGTCTTCAAGGGCTAGTTTCAGGACAGGCTCCAAAGCTACAGAGAAACCCTGTCTTGAAAAACTAAAACAAGAGAAAAAAGGAAGAAAGAAAGAAAGAAAGAAAGAAAGAAAGAAAGAAAGAAAGGAAGGAAGGAAGGAAGGAAGGAAGGAAGGAAGGAAGGAAGGAAAAGAAATCCTAGCCAGGACAGTCCCTATCAGGTGGATTTGCGCTGAGATTAAATTAATATTAAGTTTGTATATATTGTATATTTATATTCCTTGTCAATTTATAGGCTGTATCCTCATAAATATATAATCCTATATCCAAATAATAAAAATGGAGTCTATATCATATATGTTGATTAGTCTTCAAATATGAGAATTTGATTTTTTAATGATGTACCTTGGGCGCTTCTCACATCCTGCTCAGAGGTTGTCTGGATCTACAATCCCTTCTCTGTCCTCCCTCATATTAGGGGCCATGCTTTATGGTCATTGACCAAAGATGAAACCAAATCTATGTCAATGAAATTTATGATTTCCCTAAAGTAATCCCAGCTACAATTTCTAAACAACAGTCTCCAACAAAGCAGTAAAAACTGTCCCTGTGGCATAACTTAGTTTTGTCCAGAACTTTGTACCCTCTCTTTTTCTGAAACGTAAAATGAAGGCATACTTAAATCAACTTACACTCTCTAATCCCATGTGAACAAGTTCCTTGATAAAATATGAGGAGAAGATATTTTTTTTCTAGTTTAAGTACCAAGAGAAACTCAGAATATTTACAAGCAGGTATCATCCTGACGCAGAAACGTAAATACTATGGGCTAGTAAGGGTGACTTTTATTGTTTTGATTTACAGTGAGTCGGTTTCTGAAGCTTTAATCTCTTCTGTAGCCATCTCAGCATCCATCATATTGAGCCAAATTGTTGGCAAAACAATTTAACCTCTTACAATGATTGTTGAAATAATTAAATCACCTAAAACTTGCCCTTCATGGAATTCTGATTGCATGAACTCCATGTCATCTCTTCCCTATGCTTAGCTACGGAAGGAAATTGTAGAGGTCCAGTCTTCGACCACTATGATTAAAAAGCATCATGAAGAGGAGGATGAAGAAGAAGAGGATGAAGAAAATGTAGCAAAAGACACCAGTCTGCCCAACTACCTACTTGGTAGTTTGAGTACTGATTTTGGGGCAGATACCTCTCTGTTGACAAGTCAATTGGAACTTCATTCAAGAGAGGAGAAAATCAACCAAATTATATTACTAAAAGTGAGTGGGTTTCTTTTTTTTAATTAAAAAAAAATCTCTGACATTTCCCCACAAGGTTCCTTTCAAGGGCTCACACAGAAACATAGCAGTAGTCAAGTGATACCTCTGTAACCCTTGAGAAATACACAGATGGCTAGCTTTCATGTCTTACAGCCAGAGCTTGTATGCAAAAGATACTGCATTCAAACTGGATTTGATGATGCCAAGTTTTCTAGGGAATGCTTTTCCTCAACAGACACAGCAGAAGCTCCTCTTAGAACACTAGTTGACTCCATGTACTTTAATTCCATGTGCCCAGTAACCCATGCACCACTCTGGATCTTGTAAAGTCAGGATATGATCTGTCTACTTAACACAGAGAAATATGATGACCTTAAAATAAGTATGAGGTTCCTCTGGCTGCAAGCTCCCACTCCTTCCTTGATTTCTGCCAAACGAGACAGTCTCATAATACAGCTGGAATGAGAAGACTCTAGTAAATATTTTGTTTAAATCAATAACTAAGGTTGTAAGTCATTTGAAATTCCATTAGCTATTCCCATTCTCCAAAGTTCTTCAGCTGTGTCTCCAGTTTCTGTTCCCCTTCCCATGGGGCTCATCCCTTGCTTCCCATTCTTTTCTCCTCCTCCTACCCATGGCACATCTCTTTATTTATACACAGAACTGCTTAATCACCACTGATTGGCTTCTGCCCCTCTTACAGTTGCTGTCTATCTTTAAGGAGGTCATTTGAGCCCAAAATACCTATAGTCCTAGGTGTTAAAATTATTCCCAGCCTACTTTAATGATTTCATCTTTAGTGGGAAAAATTGATGGACCAGACTTTGACTTAACATAAACTTAAGTTTGAATCAGAGCTGCCACTTTGAGTTGAACCTTTAGCATTTGGGTTGAGTTGGGGCAATCCACTTGGATCCCCATAGCTATTGGCTGACCTAGTTGGCTTATTCATGTTCCCCCTTCTATTCGAGAATGACTTAACTCTATAAAGGAAGCATACAGGCACAATGGTCCTTCTCTACAAGACTCTGCAAACACCATTGCTTCCTTTCTCCACATCTCCTCCATCAAGTTTCCAAGGAAGAAGTGCTGAGTTCTGTATATTTCTTTAAAAATTTTTATGGTAGATTTTTAAGGACATGCAAAAAAAGTAGAACTGTCCAATAAGCTTCCAAGCACCCATCAGCACTTCCCAGCAGACCTGCATGTTGAATTATAGCTCACATCTTAGGAAGGAGGCGGTTAGGGTGTAAATATTGCTGCATCCTTAATCCAAACCCAGCTAGCTACCCCTGTATATTATTAACCCTAGAAATGACTTGCTGTAAATACCAGTCTGGGGAGACAATTTTGACCTTCCTAAATGATATTTTCTGGAATGGTCTTAGAGTTGTATATGGGATCGTGTTACCAGAAAAGACATAAGACATGATGCATCTTCAGTAACCTATTGATATTTCAGGATATCATTTACAAGGTAAAAATGGCTTTCAACAGTGAATTTGATGCTGCCTATAAACAAAAAGAGATTGAAATTGCACGCGTAAAAGAAAGGAATGTTAGAATTGAAGAAATTATTACAGACCTGGAACTAGAAGAAAAAGTTTGGCAACCAGTGTTTGAAGACTGCGAGAAGCCAGAAAGAGCCCTTGTTGTGGAAGACGATGAGGTACAGGCCAGCCATCTTATCCCTTCCTGTGTCTTAGGAGATCTTACCAGCTCTGGTTTGCCCATCCTCTTGTCTGCACTGGTTTTAGAAGCAGCTGTGCTAGGCAGCACTTAGTTACAGAAAACAGATGCAGGTGGCCTAGCGGCAGCAGTAGAAAGAATTCCCATGGATCCAGGGATGATCTCAATATCAAACCCAGAGAGAGCAGGAGCCCAAGGCTGGGACATTGTGGGGTGTCCAGAAGACCGTCTTCAGCCGCAGCTCGTGTCTCTGCGGTTTAACCCCCTCTGGCAATCCCACTTTATATCTCTTCTACTAGAGAGGACAGTTCGTCTCGGTGAGACTCTGGTTCCAATGCTGAGTACGCCTGAAAAGGAGCTTCCCGGCCCAATTTGGGTACAGGTACAAGAAGTAGAAACCCAACAGGCCACTGAAGCTGATGGAGTACGGGTAATTCTCAAGGTCATTTGGAGCAATACAGGCCCCAGGGAGACAGGATGGATGGATAGCCTTCAACGCCCACAGAAGCAGTTGAAAATAAAAAGCCAAAGTGCTTAGAAAGGACTACATATCCATCCTCTTAGAATTAAAAATACAGAGGAAATACACAGAGGAAATCTCTGGCTTATATGAAATAAACTGAAATTATTTGGGGGCGAAAGATAATCGTGGGTAGAAGTGACACTTTTTGTCACTTTTGATCTATGTTCAACGCTAGACACCATTCTAAGGGCCCCAGTAAGACTGGGATGCATGTGTGATTAGACAAGCTTGATCCCATTTCACAGATGGGAAAAGCGAGGCACAGAGAAGTAGTTAATGAATAAGAGCTGAGATCTGCACATTGTCCATTGTCACACTTCAGAGGACAGTCGCTTCCCCTCCACTTGTGTGTTTGTTTTCCTTGCCTATTGCTGCAACCCTGAGACCTGGGGCAAGGTGACAGCAAAGACCTCACCCTGCCACCCTCTAAGGGCCCTGTCCTGGCAATCACTTTTGCAATGTTAGTGAACCCCCAGCTCTGCTTGGCGTTAGCTCTAAGCCATTCTGCACTCGGGAGAGCAACTGTTCTGCCAGATCTGTGATGCCCTCGCTCTGCCCGGCCCCTGCACAGCTGCTCAGGCCACTAGTGAGAGCAAAGCCCACAGAGCCTCTCTCTCACCTCCTCGTCTAGTGAGTTTCCTATTCTGACCGCACATTCTGGTTCAGGACTCCTTGACCGCCCAGGCTCTTAACTTTAGGACAGAGCTCTATCTTTCTGGGTATGACTTATATGATTCTTCTGATTCCCGCCATTCTGCCTTTATCTAAGTAAATTCTTCCTCAGAGGAGTCGGTACCCGAGAGTTAGGAGGCGAGCGAGGGCCCATTTTTCCGAGCTCTCGTTCTAGACGTTCATCCTACCGCAGGAAATTGGGCAGAAATCTGCAAGGCTCTTTTAAACCGCCCTCCCCTCTTAACTTTTCCCAGAATGGGGAAGAAAAATATGACTTGATATTTTTATAGAAACTAGCAACAAACAAACAAACAAAAAACCTATACTTTCTCTTTCAGATTTCACTTCAAAAATACCTTGCTCCATGGCAAAAATCAAAAACAGAAATGACCACACCCTTTGAAATGGAGCAACTGAATCAAGCACAGGTATGTGGCTTTGCTCAGTGGTGCCCAAAGCCGTCTCTCCATCCTAGAAAGACCCGTGCATTGTCACATCCAGAGGTCATTTGGATCTCAGCGACTGCCCTTCTGTTCCCTCCCCGTTCCTGTCACTTCCAATTCCCAAATGGAATCGTTCTAGTGGCAGGCAGGTGGCTGCCTGACACGCTGACTCTGTTGACTGTCCTTAACTGTCTATTCTAATTACCTTCTCTGACTCCGGTTCTCTCCAGGCCTCCAATGCAAGACAAAGAGGCCTGATGGACATGATGGGAGGAGTTCTGGAAGTCAAGAAGGAAGACATCTTGAGAATGGTGAGTTATTTGGCCATCTTTGGGGAAAATGAAGTGAGGTAGAAAGAGCTACTTAAAGTTCATCATTTTGTTTCCTGTAAAACTCAGTTTTAGAAATTCTACTGCCCCCAGTATTCAGTTACCTAGAAAGATGCCACAGTGGGCCAACAACAAATTTGCCTTCCTTTCTCAAATACACTCACCACCATCAGAAGAAGTAAGAAAAGGAAAAGAAGGAGGAGGAGGAGGAAGAGGAAGAGGAGAAAGGAAGGAAGGAAGGAAGGAGGAGGAGTGAGGAGGAGAAAGAAGGAGAAGGAGGAGGAAGAAAGGGAGAAAAGGAGGAAGAGAAGGGAGAGGAGAAGGAGAAGGAGGAGGGAGAGGAGGAGGAGGGAGAGGAGGAGGAGGGAGAGGAG